AATCTTGGCTCACTGCAACCTCCACCTCCCAGGTTCAAGCAATTCTCCTGTCTCAGCCTACTGAGTAGCTGGGATTACAGGTACATGCCACCACACCTGGCTAATGTTTTTGTATTTGTAGTAGATACAGGGTTTCACCATATTGGTCAGGCTGGTCTCAAACTCCTGACCTCAGGTTATCCACCTGTGTCAGCCTCCCAAAGTGCTGGAATAACAGGCATGAACCACCACATCCAGGCTGTTAGCCATTCTTACAACCCATGAAAGGGATGGCCTGAACACTTCATCCCAGATTCCCTCTGCTCAATGAACTGTGCTTATAAAATGACCCCCTCATGTTGAATAGTGTTTAAAGCAGTTGTCCATAGGTGGTCTTGATTAATCCTTCATTTAGTAGATTATCCCACTGTTTTGAAGATGAGGAAATTTCACCTTGGTGAAAGGAAAGTATATCCTCAAGGTCAGCAAAGCCAGGTGGCCTGGACCTCTCCAGTGGGGTGTGGAGCTTGGGCCTTAATCCTGGTGGACACAGAGTTTCCAAGAGGCTCTTCCCGCATGCCGGGGGTCCCAGGCTGGAGTCTGGAGGAGCCGGTGGTGCTGGCAGTGGTGGTGGTGGTCTGCACTGATGCTCTGGTCAGCACAGGGGGTGTTCTCTTGGAGTAAAATGCCAGCTCAGTGAGTTTCAATGTCCCCATCCACGGTGGCTTCGACACTGTGGGTGGCCCCATACTCTGGAAAGTGTTTCCCCAAGTGGCTGCCTGGTCCACCCAGACCTGCGACCTGGAGTCTCCACATGGAAGAGAATTTGAAACGTTCCAACAAGCACCTCACAGCACCTGCTTTGGGAACACTGCCGGGTGGGAGCCTTGGGGTCGGGGGAGTGGCAGCTCTGGAATGAATTAAAATCCCCGTCCATCCAGCCCTTCGAGGGCAGGTGGGGGCCCTGCGCGGCCGGCACCCAGAAACCCTGTCTGTGTCTGGTTGCAGGGAACATCGAGTACAGCTGCCCGGCCACCAACGAGTGTGAGATCACCAAACGGAGGCGCAAGTCCTGCCAGGCCTGCCGCTTCATGAAATGCCTCAAAGTGGGGATGCTGAAGGAAGGTAAGAGCCCCCACCAAGGGGGACTTTGCCAGGAGGCTCTGCTTGCTGGGGAGTTTCCATCCCCTGTGAGACAACCACAAGCTGTGGCCCTGTGTCCCAGTCGGTGCCTGTCTCCTCCCACAACCTGCCAGCCCACTTCCAGCCATGGCGCCCACATGGCTCTCCTCCTTTAGGGAGGTGGGAATTGGAATTTCTCCATTAAGGATCCTTCAGAACCCCTGGCTCCACCTGGGCCCCAGGCAGTTGGCCTGGCACTCTGGGAAGGCCTTCCTTTTGGGGCAAACCCCCTCTCCACCCTAGGAGGGTGTTATATCCCCAGCACCCGTGAGGGCTTGGATGTGAAAAGGACAGACACATTAAGGCCGGGAATGATAAATAATGTTCCCTTCACCTGTGGAGAACAGCATTTGTTTTCTGGTGGTGGACAGGACATGGCTCTCACTTTGGGAATGCTGCTCCCTTCCTTGTTCCCTCTCTTCTTATCCTCTCCCTTGCCTCTCCTTTATCTCCCTGGGTCCTCTGTCTCTAGAGCTGTGCTGTCTGATATGACAGCCACAAGCCACACGTGACTCCCGAGCACTAGTCCAAACTGAGAGATGTGCCGAGTGTAAAACACACGCCCGCTCTAAAGACTTAATAGGACCATAAAAAGCAGTGCAAAGTCTGGTGGTGATAATTTTAAAAACTTGATTGTGGCTGGATGTGGTGCCTGACACCTGTAATCCCAGCACTTTGGGAGGCCAAGGCAGGTGGATCATCTGAGGTTGGGAGTTTGAGATCCGCCTGACCAACATGGAGAAACCCCATCTCTACTAAAAATTCAAAATTAGCTGGGCGTGGTGGCACATGCCTGTAATCCCAGCTACTCAGGAGGCTGAGGCAGGAGAATCACTTGAACCTGGGAGGCAGAGGTTGCTGTGAGCTGAGATGGCGCCATTGCACTCCAGCCTGGGCAATGAGTGAAATTCCGTCTCAAAGAAAAAAAGAAAAACCAAACAAAAAACGTGACTGCATGCAGAAAGGCTAATCTGGACATGTTGAATTAAATAAAACATTGTGAAATTAGCATCACATGCTTCTTTTTATCTTGTTTAATGTGGCTACTAGAAAATTTGAAATGACACATGGCTCTCATTATTGGGACAACTGCCCCAGGTCTCCTCCTCTTCCTTACCTTCTCTATTGATTTACTCCATTTTTTAATATTAAAATATTATTAATAGAGACAAAGTCTTGCTATGTTGCTCAGGTTGGTCTCAAACTTCTAGGTTCAGGCAGTCGTGCACCTCAGCCTCCTAAAGTGCTGGGATTACAGGCGCATACCACCACAACTCAGCTAACTTTTTGTATTTTTAGTAGAGACGGGGTTTCACTATGTTGGCCAGACTGGTCTTGAACTCCTGGCCTCGTGATCTACCTGCCTCAGCCTCTGAAAGTGCTGGGATTACAGGCATGAACCATCGCACCCAGCCTGACCTATTGTTCTGACATCCAGAGAGGAAGCTGGATATGAGAACAGCAGGTCAAATAGGGGGCCAGGGGCCACTTGGTTGCATCATGCAGCCTCCTCCCTGCCTACTTGACAGCATTTGGGGCACTTAGAGCAGCCAGAAGCCTTATTGTTTTCCATATAGCCCAGAATTTCACAGGTGACAAAATGTGGCCCTGCAGGAGTTGGGGTGAGATAACTCCCACCCTCAGTCACACATTGATTTGAGGGAAGCTGGGCCCAGAGGCTGGAATCTCCCTTGCCCTGTTCTGTGTCTGCTCCCCATGGCACAGGGCAGGGATGGGAGAGGGCGAGAGGGGACCCCTGCTCAATTCCTGGACCATCTTGTAAACACTGAATAGAGTCTCTTGATGGCCTATGCAGTGCTTGGAAGACAGGAGGGCACTTTCTAGTGGCTTCCCAGAAAGCAGGGGATGCTGAGGAGGTGCACTGATGGCAGGGAAGGAGGTGGCCGGGCCCACAGTTGACTGGTGGCTACTCAGATATCCAGACTTGCACTTGTCAAAGAACCAAGGTAGAGGCTGTGTGCCCCAGGATGATGGTATCGGGGTGCTGGGAGGACAGGGGCATGAGACCCCCACTGCCTCAAGTGGGGAGGACGTGCATGGGGAGCCCTGGTGTTGACACTCTGCCCCCCTCCCCCACTGCAAATAGCCCTTTGGTTGATGGCCTTTACCTAGGGTGGCAGCTGGGGCCCCCCAGGCAGATATGCTGAGCCTGAAAGGGCCCTTTAAGGAGCTCTGCCTGAAGGGGGAAGGGACAGCCGCTGGAATGCTTCCTCCCCTGCTCTCCACCAGTGCTGGCAGGTCCAGATCCAAGAGTGGGGAGATGACACAAAGGCTCCCAAGTGTGGACAAAGCAGAGAGCTTTGGTTAGTTTCTGTCCCCCTGCAGGGCCTTGGCAAGATCCTGGGATCTGAAGCTCCGGGGGGACCCACCCCCTCAGGAGGAGCACGCCTCCTTCAACAGCCTGGGCTCCTGCCAGGCAAGGGGGCTCTTGGCAGCCGTCCGGCTCGGCTTTTGTTTGGGTGTCCCTCCTGGCTCTGCAGGCAAAGCCCCCCCACCCAGACCAGCGTGGGCTCCTCGCCCACCTCAGACTGATTCTAAAAGGCAAACTTCACCTTCTCCAGGCTGCTCCTCCGTTGTAGGGTCCCTCTGTGGGCCTCTGTTGCTGGGGGAGGGGTGGCGGGGCACCAGGGGCTTGGAGGGAGAGATGTGGGTGCCTCCGCCCTCTCCGCTCCCCTCGCCTGTACATCTGAACACCACCTTCCCCCTCTGTCCAGACACACTCTCCTTGTGTTTTACGATTTTTCCTTACTTAGGTAAAATAATCAGAGATTGTTTCCCAATTTGGGGGCCCAGCAACAGCCACAGAAGAGATCAGACTTGGGGCTTCCTCTGGGTCTCCCTCTCCCTTAAGGCTGCAGCCAGCTCAGGGATCTAAGCTTTTTAGATTCCTCACATGGTTGGGGACAGAGCCCATGGCCACCTCCCTGTGCCTTTCTCCTGGGGACATCCAGAGCAGACCATAACAAGCAGGAGATGTCCAAAGGCTTATCGCGCTTTAAGCAAACCCAGTATATAAAAATCTGTATTTTCAGAGAAAAAAGTAATTTTTCTCTTTTAAAAATTGAATACAAAATCTGGATTAGGCGTTGGTGGCCTGTGTTCTGCCCCTGGTTGTTAGGTATTTTTGCTGCGTAATTTTATTCCTCACACCCACATGCTTCCATTTCTTCACTGTAAAGCGGGGCTGTGGATACCTGCTCTCCATCACCAGGTAAAAGTGGGGATCTGGGACAGATGGGACAGCTCCTCTTGGCAGAATCCACTGTGGGATTGCTTTGCAATGACAGCTCCCTGGGTGCATTAAAATACTCTAGTGTTTGATTCAGGCTGGGCACAGTGGCTCATGCCTGTAATCCCAGCACTTGGGGAGGCCAAGCTGGGCAGATCACCTGAGGTCAGGAGTTCAAGACCAGCCTGGCCAGCATGGCAAAACCCCATCTCTACTAAAAATACAAAAATTAGCTGGGCATGGTGGCACACGAATGTAATCCCAGCTACTCGGGAGACTGAGGCAGGAGCATTACTTGAACCCGGGAAGCAGAGGTTGCATTGAGCTGAGAGTACACCACTGTACTCCAGCCTTGGCAACAAAGCAAGACCTGTCTCAAAAAAAAAAAAAAAAATATGGTGTTTGATTCAAAGACACCCTCATTTACACTTAGCTTTTCATCAGTCTGCCCCTTGTGTTTGGGGAGGCAGACTAGCGTCTGGCCACCCTGATTTTCTTCCTGGATTTTTTGGTGGGAATCTTAAAAGTCAGCCTTGTCTTGGGCTGGTCCCCACTGTGGGTTCTAGAATTAGGATGGGCGGTTCCTCTGGTAGTCAGCCTTTGCAGCCTGCTGAGGGCGTGGACTGACTCTGCCACTAATCCAGAAGAGCCCTGGAAAACCACTTGCTGCATCTCCTAGGGTGCTCCCCAAGTCCTCAGTACAGCTCTGGGATTTCAGCAATTCTCTCTAGACAGCCTGTCCCTCCCAACTTCACCTCCTCCTCACCTCACCTCACTCCCTCGTGCCACCAGCCTCCCAAGCCCGCTCCATTTCTACTCTGCTCAGCCCCTGCCTGCCTTTCCCCAAGTGCTTTCTAAAAGATATTTGATTTCAGTGAAAGCTGGGCTGACATCCATGCAATATGCTCTCACTTGCTTTGTGCTTGTTGGGAAGGTGGAGGGCTCCTCCAGGGATTCTGGGTAATTGCGTTAGTGGCCAGCTCATGTCAGGAAATTAAAAGGAGGCCCTGATCATGTTCCCACTGCATAGGATGTAATGGCCTTGTATTTATAGAGTATTTTGCCTCTAGCCCATGCTGTCTCTGTGAATGAAGAAAGAGAATGAGAGATGATTTGCCTTTAAACATTCTTTTTCTTTTCCAAAATATATTAGCGTTGTGAAACAAACCAACTCTCTACCACTTTATTTATTTATTTATTTTCCCTGAGACGGAGTCTTGCTCTGTCACTCAGGTGAGAGTGCAGTGGTGTGGGCTTAGCTCACTGCAATTTCTGCCTCCCGGTTTCAAGAAATTCTCCTGCCTTAGCCTCCCGAGTAGCTGGGATTACAAGCATGTGCCACCACGCCCAGCTAATTTTTTTTTTGTATTTTTGGTGGAGGACTTTCATTCCTATAGTATCTTCCCTGCTTTCAACATCATCGAATTCTCCCTCACGACTGGATCATTTTCATTAGCACACATAATGGGAGAAGTATTTCTGTTCTCCCATTATGAAAACAAAATTAAATCATTTTTAACTTTTTTCTTTTCTTTTCTTTTTTTATTTTTTATTTTGAGATGGTCTTACTCTGTCACCCAGGCTGGAGTACAGTGGCATGATCTCAGCTCACTGCAACCTCCACCATCCGGGTTCAAGCGATTTTCCTGCCTCAGCCTCCCGAGTAGCTGGGCTTACAGGCACCCACCACCAC